CTATCTCCCATCTCCTTCAGGTATGTCTGAACCAGCCAGGAACCAGCCATCAGTGTTAGCCTCCTGGGGTACAGAATAGAGAAGACATCTGGGGGAGAGGAGCAGCTGGAGAATAATCAGAGCTGAGGAGCAATGCAAAGGTGGAGTTCATAGTCAGTGGTATAGTTACTTGATTTCTGAGACACAGGATTAAATTATAAGAATTAAAAGATTATAAAAACAATAAAAAAGGAGATTTAATGAAACTAAAAAATGAGGGTAGGTTGTGAGAAAATGTAAAGTAGGAGCATGCAAACGATGTGGGTTCCTGTGTGAACCTGCCTCTCCTTGAAATCACTACCACTAATAAAGAATTTAAACTCATGTACAACCAGAAGAATGAGAAATTATACTCCATTTATGTATGATATGTCAAAATGCATTCTACTGTCATGTACAACTGATTAGAACAAGTGAAAAAAAGAATTTAAGAGCTTCTTTAGCACTCATTTTACAGCCTTCTAAATAGTGTTGCTGTTCTCTATTTGATCCTCTGAGTTTTCCCTTAACATACAGGTTTTAAAATCCCTTAAAATACTTTCAATAATTGTTGGAAGACTGAAAATTTATTAGGAGAAAATTAGCTTGCCTCCCCAAATGAAAGGTCTTAAGAGTACAATAGTCTCCACTTATCCATGGTTTCATTTATCTGGGGTCAACCAAAGTCTGAAAATGTTGAAAGGGAAATTATAGAAATAAACAATTTATAAGTTTTAAATAGCTTTCTTTAGGGCATATTGCTATAATTTTTTTATATTTATTAGTTATTATTGTTTTCTAATTTATTAGTTAACATGTTCACTGAGAGTAAGCCAGGGTTACTACTATACATAATGCCATTTAGATAGACTGTGTTTAACATTTATTGGTAGAAAAGTATCCACTTTTTTTTAAAGTAAGTATTCAGAAGGCTATCCATTTTGTTCATCAATTTATTTAGGTTAGAATCTGCATTGTGTGCTTGTGTGTATGCATGCGTACATGTTACTGGGGTTTGAACCCAGGGCCTCACTCATTAGGCAAGTGCTCTACCATTGAGCTAGCCCTTTTAAACATTTCTACATGCCCTTATAGACATTCTGTTCTACAGCCCCAGCCCTTTTAAAGGTTTTTTGTTTTTTTAATTTTGACATAGAGTCTCTTTAAGTTGCCAAGGCTGGCCTCAAATTTGCGATTTTCTTGTCTTGGGTATCTAAGTAATTAGAATTACAGGCAAAATATGCATCTTAAATAATATTCATGTCATATTAAGTTACTGTGATCTGAGGATCTTCTTTGGTGCTAGATGGCAGAGTCTGTCATTTTCTAAATATTCCTATAAAATAAATATAACATAAATTCTGCATGTAAGATAGAATATTATCAAAGTACCCTTTCTTTTTTTAATATTTATTTTTTAGTTGGACACAATACCTTTATTTTGTTTATTTATTTTTATGTGGTGCTGAGGATCGAACCCAGGGCCTCAGGCGTGCTGGGCGAGTGCTCTACTGCTGAGCCACAACCCCAGCCTGCAAAGTACCCTTTCTAAAATATATTGAATTATTGAGTGGGAAAAAGAGAAGATAGGATCATGGGTTCTACTCTTTTTTTTTTTAAACCAGCACTGATTTTTTCACTTTGCCATCTTTACTCACCCTTCACTTTTTTTTTGCCTAAACTTCCTTTATTCAAAGTATATTAATTATATCATGTGAACAGTACTAGAGTAAAACCATTCCTTCAATGGTTCCTGCAAAATGTATTTCAAAGAATTATGAATTGCCATGACGTTCCCAGTTACCTAATACAGAATGTTGCTTTCAAAAGATTTCTAGTACAAAGAATATGTTCAGAGATTATTAGGTTTTATGCAAGTTGTCCAATTTGAAGTTGTTCTAAAATTGTTTAAAAGCATAAATGCTTTTTCTGGCAAGTTGAAAATAGAATAACCAGTGCACAATAATGCTCATATAAAAAAGAAAGAAAGAAAAATTAAGAGGTTTTGGCAGGAGTGGAAATCTGTTTTCAGTTGAGATGTAAGAATAGATGGGAGAGTTAACATGCAGCGAAACACAGGGAAACCATCCAGGTGGCAGAACCAACACCAAGATCTTTTTGCCTGGCCTAAACAAGGATGAAGTCTAGAAGGAGCCTTATGGATTTAGGGAGAGGTTTCTGAAGCAAATTGGCCTGAAACCATAGATTATAAAACAAAACCAAAAGCATTATGGACTGGTTTCTGACATCCAGCTTTTGAGATTTTTTTTTTTTTTTTTGGCCAGATTATTGACTTCTCTGGTGCTAATTAGAACTACATTCCCCAGCCCTTTTTTACTTTTATTTTGAGACAGGATCTTGCAAAGTTGCTGAGAGTCTTGCTAAATTTCTGAGGCTGGCCTTGAATTTTGTGATCCTCTTGTCAAAGCCTCCTGAGTCACTGGGATTACAGGTGTGGGCTACCATGCTGGGCTAGGATCCTTTTTTAAAAGGTTGAGTAAGGGGCTGGGGCTGTGGCTCATGGTAGAGCGCTCACCTAGCAAGCGCAAGGTGCTGGGTTTGATCCCTAGAACCACATAAAATTAAATAAAATAAAGGTATTGTGTCTAACTACAACTAAAAAAAAAGGCTGAATAATATTCCATTGTATGTGTATGTCACAAAAAATCTGTTTATCCATTTATCTGTGGATGGACACGTGGGTTATTTCTGTTTTTTGGATCTTGTAAATAATGCTGCAGTAGACATAGGGATGCAGATATCTTTATGAGGGGGTGACTTGTTTTCTTTGGCATGTTTCCAGAATGGTTGTAGGTGTTATAATAGTTTGAATTTTACTTTAACCTTCATACTGTTATCAATGTACATTCCCACCCACAGTGTGCAAGAGTTCCCTTTTCTCCACACTCTAACCAACATTTATCTTTTGTCTTTTTAATACAAGTCATCCTAAGAGGTATGAGATACTTCATCATGGCTTTAATTTGCATTTCCCCAATTATTAAACATGTTGGGCACATTTTCATACGCCTGCTGGCCATTTTTATGTTACACCTATATTTTTGAAGTTTACTTTTGCTCTCAGCATGCTTCTGTTTCTTCTGAATTTTTTCCCTCAGTACATTTGCTTTGGTCTTTTTCTTTTTATCTTGAAAGTTTTTTTCAATGCTATCTTTTTTTATTTTTATTTTTTTTGAATTGGGGATGGAACTGAGGCCTCACACATGCTAGGCAAGTGCTCTACCACTGAGTTACATCTTCAGTCCTTAAAGTAAAAAAAAAAAAAAAATCTGTTGATTTGTGGCTGTTGATTTTTTTTTAATTTAAAAAATTTGTCAATTCATTTTAGTTTTTTCAGGTACTAGCAAGCTGATTAGGAGAAAGTTTGACTATTCTTTACTGTTAGGTGATCTGGTAGGGATCCAGGTCCACACCTAAGTGCCTTTGGGTCTTTTTCTGGAGATTATTCACTTTCTCCAGAAAAAAATTTCTCCTGTTCCCTTACTTGCTGAGAATGTGCCTGACTGCTATTGTTTGGGAAGCTAATCTGGGAGACAAGGGGACGATTACATGGTGGGTAAGTTGTAGAGGGGATGTAAGTTCAAGTCATGTGTCTTGGGAGCCCTTACTTTGGGCTGCTTTGCCTGTTGCCTTTTGCACTGAATCCTCAGTGGGGCTTCACAATCTTCCCCTCCCCCAAATTTTTAAATTGTGGTAAAATACACGCAAGGCTTAGTATCTTAACTATTTTTATGTATACAGTTCAGTGGCATTAAATACATTCATAATGTTCTACACCTATCACCACTACCCATCTTTTTACCTTCCACAAATGAAATTCTATATCTATTCAACAAGATTCCCTGTTTTCCTCTCCTTGCAGTTCCTGTCCACCACTTTTCCTACTTTTTTTTTTTTCCTTTGGTACTGGGGATTGAGCCCAGGGACATTCAACTACCGAGCCACATCCCCAGCCCTTTTTTATATTTTATTTAGAGACAGGGTCTCACTGAGTTGCTTAGGGCCTCACTAGATTGCCAAGGCTGTCTTGCCTCCTGAGCCACTGGGATTACAGGCCTGTGCCACTGTGCCTGGCTTTTTTTTTTTTTTTTTTTTAGGTACCAGGAATTGAACCCAGGAGCCCTTAACTAATGGCCTGTGCCACCACTCTCTGCCTATTTTTTATTTTGAATTAGGGTCTCACTAAATTGCCCAAGCTATCCTTCAACTTGCAGTCCTTCTGCCTCAACCTCCTGAGTTACAGCAACCTCCTGGAATTATGCCTCACTGTACAGCCCCTTTTTCTACTTTCTGTCTTTAATTTTTGGCTGTTCCAAGTACTTCATATAAGTAGAATCATACAATATTTGTTTGTGACTGACTTATTTTATCTAATGCAATGTCCTCAAGGTTTATCCACAATATATCCTGTAACAGAATTTCCTTCCAGGCCAGTACAGTATTGTAGGTCTGTATTCCCAGAAGATTGAAGGTTGAGACAGGAGGATAGAAAGTTCAAAGCCAGCCTCTGCAATTCAGAGAGACACTAAGCAATTTAGTGAGACTCTGTCTCACAATAAAATACAAAACAAAGAGGCAGGGGATGTGGCTCAATGGTAGGTGCTCCTGGGTTCAATGCCTGTTACCAAAAAAAGAAAAAAAGAATTTCCTTCCTTTTTTAAAAAAAATATATTTATTTTATTTATTTATTTTTATGTGGTGCTGAGGATTGAACCCAGTGCCTCAACGCATGGGAGGCAAGCAGTCAACCACTGAGCTACATACAATCCCAGCCCAGAATTTCCTTCCTTTTTAAGGCTGAATAATATATGGCCTCCCAGACTTTTGCATCATTTTTCCCCTATTTGTTGTGTATATTAGCCTTTCTATGTCCTGTATATGACACAATTAGGAATACTATATGTATTACTATACTAAGTTATATTCATGATGGAGATTTATAATTTGTTTTTAATTTGCAGCTTTTTTCAAGGAGCAAACCTCCAAAGGGCCTGTATGTTTATGGAGATGTTGGTAAGTGTTAAAATAAGTTTTGGGTGGGCCAGTTGGAAAGTTTTACAGGTTTTGTTCAGGGATAACTTTAATTTCCATCCCTTAATCCACTACCAGCAAGGAACAAGATGAGGGGGTGAAGCAAGGGAGGGAGAAGGGGGAAGAGGGCAGGTGACTCAGCTTTCACCCTTTCTTCTCTCTGAATTAGGCTATAATTTAAGTCAGTATTAGACTATGTTAGGATGCAAAAATTATATAATGCATAAAGTGAGTAATTCTCAGGGAAGGAAATCATCTGTGGATAGTTTATTAGATAAATTAAGATCTATTACACAGTGCTGCTTGACTCAGTTTAATTCTTTTAAAAAATAAACTGTTATTTTCTATTTAATTTCCACTCATATTTCTATTTATTCTCTAAGCCCTTAGATTAATAACTTAGTTATTATTATCTTTTGTTTTGAGGTGGGGAGTCTCATTATATTGCCCAGGCTGGCCTTGAACTCCTGGGCTCAAACTATCTTCCTGCCTCCACCTCCCAAGTGCTGAGACTATTAGTGTGTGCCAATGCACCAGGCAATTAACTTTAATTTAGTTGGTAGATACTCTTAATGCATGAGTGATAACATTTCCTTGGTCTCCTAGTACTATCCCTTGGGCACAGACTCACATTTTGATGGAAACATTCTTTTTTTTTTAATATTTATTTATTTTTTAAAAGTTTTTCGAGGACACAACATCTTTTGTTTGTATGTGGTGCTGAGGATCGAACCCAGGCTGCACACATGCCAGGCAAGCGCGCTACCACTTGAGCCACATCCCCAGCCCTGGTGGAAACATTCAGAGTGGTCACTTTCTAGATTTTCCTACTTAGTTCATGTCTTGTTCCTGAGGTCTTCCTTGACCTCATTCTTGCTGAAATTCTTTATTCCCTGGTTTCCATCTCTTTCAAATGAATCTTTTCTTGTAGCCCTAAACCTCTCCCTGGTTTCCCACATCCACTGATGTCAGGAAGGTGGCTCCCACTTCTCTTAGTTCTATTGCCTTCTAACTTGTCAGTTAATTCTTTTATTTCACATTTACCACTCAAATTTACATGGGAGGAGCTCAGTTTTGGACCTAGATTAATAAACACTCTCCAGGCTCCCCTTAGAGCCATAATATATTTGTGTTATGAGGGAATGCTGGCAGGGGTTATTTTCTTAGTAAAAAATTTAGAACAAGAAAAAAAATAGTTACAGTGAATGAATAAATAGTTACAGTGTATTAAAAATAAAACTTCTTTTTTGTCTTATTTGGATTACCTTTACACACCCATTTTGCATTTATAAAATTCAAGTTCTTAAATGTTACAGATTTAAAAAATATTAAAGGAGCTCAAATTCTATTCTGCTTTATTCTATTATGTAAGAAAGCTCTATTCTTTTTTCTTAGTTCATTGGCTAGTTGGAATTTTTGAGATTTATGTGTACTTAATTTTTGTGTGTGTGTGTGTGCTGGGGGTTGAACCCAGCACCTCATATATACTAGGCAAGCCCTCTACCCCAAGCTATATGCCAGGCCCTCACATGTACTTATACATTTTATTTATAACCAAATGATTAGTCAGTTTTATGTACCTATATATTTGGGTACCTCTATCAAATCTCATTCTGTTGTTAACTCTCATTTTAGCTTCCTGAGAATATTTTACTTCCTCTACCTTCATCTTCTTGTTTCAGTCATTGTGAAAATCAACATCTTTGTTTCTCCCATTACCTTAATCACTTAATTGTAAGTGGAGATGGTTAGTAAAATAACAACTGCTTTCACTTCTGTAAAAGGACTTATTTTAAAAAGTCTCATAAAAATTGTTGGATTTTATTTTGGAAAATACAGCCATATTCTAATGAATTGAAGAGTAATACAGCACAAGTAATTCATATGAATTCTTGAAAAAGTTAAAAAAGATGTAATATCATAGGGTGTTCACAAAGTAGGCTGGATGAATGGCAATGTTTGGGTAGAGGTTTAGAATATAGAGAGAAGAGAAAGTAGTTCTGAAATAGGAAGTGAGATGAACATTTTGGTGGCTAAAATCAGTTTAGAATATATACAATGTAGGTTATAAAAAAGTCAAGTTTTCATTTTAAGGGCTTTCTGGTTGAGAGAGAATAGTCTCAGAATGCCATCACAAGCTCTTATTTTTTAATTTTTGCCTTTTTTGGACTTGGGAAACAGGTACTAAACTCTAAGGAGACTTAATGGGAAAGAAGATATTTGCTTCCCAGCACCCACTTCCAACCCCTCATTCTTGTACTGGGTTTGTGCTCTGTCATGCCCACTTCACTCTACTCTCTTCTCTTAGATGGGTCCAGATGATTGAGTCAGATGGACCCTGAATTCGGGGAACTTCTGCAGAGTTGATGTATAGATTGGAGGGATTAACATGGTTCAGTCTTGAAAAGAAATATTTTCATTAATAGAATGTTCACCCCATCTCATACTGAAGCTGAAAGTTTCTGTTGTAGAACTGAGCCGCTTCATTGTTGTTCAACAGCTTTTTTTTTTTTTTTTCATGGCTTCAGGGCTTGACTGGCAGACTACAGCAGTGATCACAGGTTAACAATTTCTCTGGTATATTAGACTAGAATCAAAGTACACTTTGGTTTTTAGTCTATTTTTTTTCTCTCTTTTTGTTTAGACTTCCCTGTTTGACATTGATACTGGGCTCTCAATTTCACCAGTTGAAAGATTTTTAAGGTTAGGAGTAGGGAAGCATAGTCCTTCCGTGCCTGGAGGTGGTGATGGAAGGCACACCACTTCCTGCTACTTCTGCAGGGGGAATGGTTGTAAAAAGGGACCGCTAGGGGGTGCGCTCGAGTAGTCATTTTTGGCTTCCCGATTAAGGACTTGGATGTTTCAATTTAGTTTCAGGTTTTACAAATTAATCCCCTAGAAAGAATCTTCTGTAGAGAAAAGCCTAAGGCTTTATTTAGGATTCTGTATAGACCAAACCAAAATTGTTAAATAGGTGAAATTTAGTGTTGGTTTCCTCCCCATTCTAGATGGTCTCTTGACCATGTTCTGCCCATCTCTTGACAAATGTTATTGAGCATTTGCCTTGTGCCAGGCCGTGTGTTGCTTCTGGAATTGTAATGGCGAATAAAAGAAGGTCGAGACTTTGCTCACTTAAAAAGCTTAGAAACTGCAGGGGGCGGAGACACAGGTGAGGCAGAAGGATCACAAGTTTTGAAGGTCAACCTCAGCAATTTGGAGAGGCAATTTAGTGAGATCCTATCAAACAAATAAACAAACAAACAAATAAATAAATAAAACAAAAGAAGCCTACAAACTGGTGCAATGACCTTGAAACATTTTTGAACATGACCCACAGTAAGAAATATATTTTATACATTCTGACCTACTGTATGATGAATGTATATATATATACTTGTTTCTGAAAAGATTATTTCACAGAAGAAATATGATGCATTTGGATATTTTCTTTTCTATTTCACGACAAAGCAATTTTGGTGTAGTGGCAGTTTGAAAAGCCAGGGTCTAGTGACTTTAGTATCTATCACTTTATGCTGGTGTATGCATATCTCACTACTGCAGGTGTGGACACTTCTCATGGCTCTTCTTTAGGTCACAGCTTTCTCCTCTACTACACTAATGTGTAATTGAACTTAATTATCCCAGCCTTCTAGCAAAAAGTCTGACCCACTTCTAAACTATTTTAATCTAATCTAGTCTAAACTGCTTGCCAAATGGGTACCATTGGATTAATAGGTTACCTCTGCAGATCATGTGCATTTTAAGGAGATCTTCTAACCGGGTTTCACTGAAAACTTTGATGTATCCATTGAACAATTACCCTAAGTCTACCTTTAATTTTCCCCTACCATCTAGATTCTGGAAATCAACATTTTACTTTTGTCTTTGAGTGACCACTCTAGGTTCCTTGTATAAGAACAGTCATGCTATTTTCTATTTGTCATTTTGTGCCTGGTTTATTTTACTTAACATTCTTCAAGATTCATCTATGTTATAGCATACATCAGAATTTTCCTTTTAAGGCTGAATGACACTCTTATTTTATGAATATACTACATTTTGCTCATTCATTTGTCCATTATTAGGATATTTTGGATTGTTTCATCTTTTGGCTATTGTGACTTATGCTATGAACATTAATGCATAAGTATTTGTTTGAATCCCATATGCATATTGGGTTTAATATTATGAGTAACTGCCATTCTGTTTTCCACAGCAGCAACACCATCATCATTCCCTCAAGCAAGGCCCAGGATTCCCCCTTTTTTTTTTTTTGTACTGGAAATTGAACCCAGGGGTGCTTAGCCACTGAGCCACATCCCTAGCCCATTTTAATTTTTTAAATTTTGAAGCAGGGTCTTGCTAAGTTTCTTAGGGCCTTGCTAAGTTGCTGAGGCTGGCTTTCTGGCTCTGAATTTGAGATCTTCCTGCCTCAGCCCCCAGAGTTGCTAGGATAACAGGCATGCACTACCATACCTGGCTAGGATTCCAATTTTTATATTTTATATAAATATTTTATATTTTCTCACCAACTTGTTATTTTTTGATAATAGTTATTCCAATGTATGTTAAATGGTATCTTGTTGATGTTTTGATGTGCTTTACATTAATGATTAGTAATGTAGGGTATCTTTTCAATGACTGTTCTTTTATATTTATCCTTTGTCAGGTGGGGAAGTCTGCTTCTTCTAGTTTGCAGAGTTTTTATCCCAAATGTGTGCTAAGTTTGTTAAATATTTTTCAAATGTTGTGATGGTAACATCAGAAAGGGTTTTCTCCTTTATTCTCTTAATATGATGAATGACACTGATTTTTAAGGTTAAGTCATTTTTTTAAGAGAGAGAGAGAGAGAGAGAGAGAGAGAGAGAGAATTTTTTAATATTTATTTTTTATTTTTCCGCGGACACAACATCTTTGTATGTGGTGCTGAGGATTGAACCCGGGCTGCACGCATGCCAGGAGAGTGCGCTACCGCTTGAGCCATATCCCCAGCCCTTAAGTTTAAGCCATTCTTACATTTCTGACATAAATCTCATTTGATAATGGTGTACTATCCTTTTTGTATATTGTTGGTCTCATGAAATGAACAGGGAAGTGTTTCTTCCTCTATTTTTGGAAGGTTTGTGTAAGATTGGCATTATTTAATTTTAACATATTAAAATTTTCACTAGTTTTCACTAGTGAAGCCATTTGAGTCTGGAGTATTTTTTTGTGATAAAATTATTAATCATAAATTTAATTGCTTTAATAAATGTGAAGTTAATTAGATTTTCTATCTTTTATTCCAGTTTTGCCATTTTATGTCTTTAAAGAAATTTACTCCTTTATCTAAGTTGAATTTATCGACAGAAAATTATTTATAATACTTTCTTATTATGCTTAACATCTTTAGGAACTATAGTGATACTGTCTTTCATTCTTGATACTGTTAAATTTGTGTTTCAGGTCTTTTTTTCTTGGGTAGTTCAGCGAGGGTTTTGCCAATTATTTTTGATGTTTTCAAAGGATCAGGTTTTGGTTTTGTTGATTTCTCTATTGTTTTGTTTTTAGTATATTGATTTCTGCTTTTTTAAAAAATATTTTTTAGTTGTACATGGATGCAGTATCTTTATTTTGTTTATTTACTTTTATGTGGTGCTGAGGCTCAAACCTAGTGCGTCACACGTGGGAGGCAAGTGCTTTCCTGCTGACACACCCCAGCCACCAATTTCTGTTTTTTATTATTCCTTTTTTGTTTTTCTTCTCTCTACTTGTATTTGGGATTAAACCCAGAGCCTTATGCAAGCCCAGAAAGCTAGGCAAGCCTGAGCTATACCCTTAACTCCATTTTGAAACAGGAGATTGCTTAGTTGCCAGGCTGGCCTCAAAATTGTGATCCTCCTGCCTCAGCCTCCCTAATAACTGTGATACTACTTTGGGATTTATTTGCTGTCTTTTTTAACTTCCTAAGGTAGAAACTTAAATGATTGATTTAAAAATCTTATTTGCTAATATGAGCATTTATTGTATTTTATTTTGGTACCCAGGGTATTCCACCATTAGCTATAACCCTAGACCTTTTTATTTTTATTTTTATTTTTATTTTTTTTTTTTTAGAGAAGGTTTTGCTAAGTTGCCCAGGCTGGCCTTGAACTTTTGATCCTATCTGGGATTACAGGTGTGTGCTACTGTGCCCAGATTTCTTTTCATTTTATCGCTTTTAACTTATCTGTATGAGTGTCTTATAGAGATTATATAAATAATTTTTTTTTTGCCCATCAATGTTAGCCTTTTTATTGAATTATTTGGCCCACTTGAACTTATCAGCATAGTAGAATTTAAGGCTACCTTCTTCCATTTGTATGTTTTTTCTACCTTTTTTGTTCTCAGTTTAATTTTTTTAAAAAATTTTCTGCGTTACTTACATGATTTGCTTGTTTTTTATATCTTTATTATTCATATTTTTATTGTTTGATTCTTTTGTTGGTTTCTGTAAAGTTTAAAATATGCACTTTAATTATATTGTATCCTTTCTCCAAGTTATGCTATCTAGAGCTTTATAACAGTATTCTTTTATTTCTCTCACCAATTAAATAACATTTATGCTATTATCATAGACTATACTTCTATGTGGATTACTAAATCTATAATACATTGTTAATGTTATTTAAATAGCTAATTACTGTCTAAAGAAATGTAAAAATGATAAAACAAATATTTACCCATGTATTTATCATTTCTTGCATTCTTCATTTCTTTGTAGTGCTTACTTTCCATCTGGTATCACTTTTTCTTCAGCCTAAAGAATACTTTGTCTCATTTTTTATTATATACTTGATATTGTAAATATTAACTTGATGAGGATGTGGATTTAGTTTTCTTCTTTAATGTGTGTTAGATTTTAGAGGGTTACTTATATGCCAGTTTGATTTGTTCAAATTCATTCCCTTTCTTCATTCTCTTTCTGTATTTTTTTCCCTTAGTGTTGATTATATTCTTTTTTTGGGGGGCAGTACTGGGGATTGAACTCAGGGGCACTCAGCCACTGAACCACATCCCCAGCCCTATTTTGTATTTTATTTAGAGACAAGGTCTCACTGAGTTGCTTAGCGCCTCACTTTTGCTGAGGCTGGCTTTGAATTCATGATCCTCCTGCCTCAGCTTCCCCAGCTCCTGAGATTATAGGTATGATTTTGATGTTGTAGGAAAGATGTCTTCTGGTATTTTATAGATTGCTTTCTTTCTTTTTAAGTTTTTTTTAGTTGTCAATGGACCTTTTTTTTTTAATATGTGGTGCTGAGAAACCCAGGGCATCACATGTACTAGGCAAGTGCTCTACCACTGAGCCAAACCCCAGCCCTAGATTGCTTTCTTGAAAGGAGGAAGAACAACTCTCATTCTCAGAATCCATACTAATCCCCTAATGAATGCTGAGTTAAAAGAGTCACATGCCCACAATTGTGCCATCCATACAGTGCAAAGGGTGATGGGTATTTCAGTGGATCCACCCTGTGATTGACACTGTCACCAAAGGGGCAGTCTCAGAAAGAATCGATTTAGAACAGACAGGGAGAGGGGGAAAAAAGGGACAAGAAAAGAACATAAAGTCCATTGCAGTTTCTAAGATAAGATAATATATATATATATGTATATATATACACATATATATGCATATATATTATATATATTAAATATATAAATGTAATAAGGTCTATATAAATAAAGATATCTGCATCTTTATATATATTAAAATCTCAGGTTCTACAGAGTGGTAGGTTTTGTTAATTTTGTTCACTATCATAAAGCACTTAAAACAGTGTCTTACACATTATAGGCATTCAGTAAAAGTATATTGATTAAATGAATAAAAGAACACTAATTTTACTTATGGTGACTTTTGAAATTCAAGAGGTCAAAATTCATGTAGCCTAGTCAATCAATCTTTCCCTTTATGACTTTTTCCCCTTTTTGGGGAGTGGGTGGTGGTTCTGAGGTTTGAACCCAGGGCCTTTTGTTTGCTAAGTATGTGTTCTATCACTGAGCTACATTCCCAGCTCCCTCTAATTTCTTCTTTTGCTTTTATCTCCAGAAACTTTACATAATGACCTTATTGTATATAAAGCCCGTTTTTTTAAAAAGCACAAATGTTAAGTTCAAATATATATATTATTCACACTTTTGGCTAGATAATTCATAAATATTTTTCTGGATCTAGAAGTATCCTATGCTGAATGCAGCAGAACTTGAAAGTTATTACTCCTTGGTAAATGTAATGATTAAAAATCTGCTGCCATTCTTTCCATTAAGAGATGCTGTATTGAATATTTTCGCAAAAAATTACTTTTCAATCTAAGTGGCGTCTTTACTAAAAATTCATTTGGGAATTGTATTTTCATATAAAAAAATATTCTGGCACTGAGATGGCATGTGCTGAGAATCATCTTGTGGAACAGAGGAAACACCCAAAGGATGATAGTCAGATCTTCTTCCTTCCTGAGCTGTTTTTGATTTTTTGGTAATTGCAGCTCCTAATAGGAGAGCCTGGGTACTGTGGGGTACAGGAAGCAGGTAGGATGAGACATAGAGCTAGCACATTTTGGCCTGGCCTTCTGAGGGGTGCTAGAATATGAATTTGGACACTGCCACTGTCCCCAGAGCACTGGGTTTTCTGTGAGGGAATAAGGCTTTTTGTGCATGCTTGTGTTCACAAGTGCTCAGACTGATGACTATTCTATTTCTAATACAATTGTAGTGATGAAAAGTTTCAGTGTTGAAAATGAGATAATTTAATTATAAGGATTGACTATCGGAATTTCTTAAGTAGGCCTCATTTTGAAATTCCCAGTTTTTTAAAGAGGGAAGTATTGTAATTGACTATTCTTTAGCTCTAATCTATCTCTGTTATTTATTTTCAATATTTGTGTTGGGTACTGATCTTTCTTTTTCACCTTTCTCCTCTTAATTTTTCTTTTCTTTTTTTTTTTTTTTTTTGTTTCTGAATTTTCCCCCAGTGTCTGGAAAAGTTCCTTATACATAGTAATAATACAATAATTAATTAATTATTTTATTTGTACTAATGTCTTTTGAAAGAGAAGACTGAAGATTAATCTGTTAATCTTGCCAGGTTATGAACATAGTTCTCTAGGGAAAATTGCCCCTGAAGTGTTGACTAAGTGTTATATTTCCTAAAAGCAAGATTATAATTGAAAAAAGTATTATCTACATTTTTTCCCTTGGCTAGTTTAGCATATAAAGTGAACAGACCCCTCTATAAAAGTAACACCGTCTTCAGCTTTCCAGTAGGAGTGTGGCTTCATTATCTCAAACCTAATGAACAATCATTACAGCAATCAGCACATACTGTTTTAATAGTATTCTTTAAAAATATTTTTTTTTTTTATTTTGAAGGTACAGGAAAAACAATGGTGATGGACATGTTTTATGCTTATGTGGAAATGAAGAGGAAAAAACGGGTCCATTTTCATGGTTTCATGTTAGATGTGCACAAAAGTAAGTCAAGCCGAGTGATTTTTCAGTGGGCATACTCTAACAATAGTTTTCTTAAGTGAATAACACTCTTAAAAAATTAGATATTTGCCTGAAGCAAGGTTTTATTTGGTTTCATTTTTTTTGTGTGTGCTATATTGAAACAGTACTGAATCTGGAGTTGGCTTTTTAAAAAAAAATTAAATATTTTTTCTAATTAGTTATACATGATAGTAGACTATATTTTGACATATTATACATATATGGAGTATAACTTCTCATTCTTCTGGTTGTACATCAAGTAGAATTACATTGGACATGTAATCATATAGGCACGTAGGATAGTAATGTGCGATTCATTCTACTATCTTTCCTACTCCCATTCCCTCTCTCTCTTCCCTTCATTCCCCTTTGACTAATCCAAAGTACTTCTATTCTACTCTAACTGCCCCCTCCTTATTGGAATTAGCATCTGCATATCAGAGAAAACATTTAGCCTTTGGTTTTTTGGAATTGGCTTATTTCACTTAGCATGATATTTATTCTTCAGCTCCATCCATTTACTGGCAAATGGCATATTTCATTCTTCTTTAAGCCTGAGTGGAGTTGGTTCTTAAAGTGAATTCAGTATTTTCCAGTTAGAGAACAAAGGTTAATAAATGAAGATCAGACATTTTCTGTTTCTACTAAACATTGATTAAAAAAATGTTTCAACACACCTGTTTCAAGAAGTTATTATTATTATTACTATTTTGATGAGTTCCTTTACTCTGTGTTATCTCAGCAAGAGGCATTCAGTTTGTATTTTTAGAACCCAGGGCCTCACACGTGCTAGGCGAGTGCTCTACTGCTGAGCCACAACCCCAGCCCTCTCTAATTCTTTTAGCACTTAGTATGGTGCGATTAATGAAGTGGGACTCATGTTAGTGCCTTAGGTCAGAGACAAGGGAGTATTCTGATTAGATTTGCTAGATATAACTTATACTCCTTGGGTAGGATCACAGCCTCCATCACTGAAATCCACAGGATTGAGATCAATTTGTTGATCCATTTGGTTACCTATCATTTTGTCATCTCTGAATGATTAAAGAATGGAGATGGAATGACCTTGAAATTTTCTTACTACTTTAAGGCTATAATAATCTTTCAACAATTTATTTTGGGGTGGAGAAAATGCAACCAATTTTTTAAAGAAAATATATATTAATATGTGTATATGTATATATAAGTTGTAGATGGACATAATACCTTTATTTATTTATTTATTTATTTTTATGTGGTGCTGAGGATTGAACCCAGTGCCTCAGATGTCCTAGGCAAGCGCTCTACCACTGAGCCACAAACTAAGCCCCAATGCAACCAATCTTAATAATCAAATTTGATCTGCCAGACATGGTAGTGCATGTCTATAATCCCAGTGACTTGGAAGGCTGAGGCAAGAGGGGACTGTAAGTTGGAGGCTAGCCTGGGCAATTTAGGAAAATCCTGTCTCAAAATAAAAAATGAAAAGTGCAGGGAATTTAGCTTAGTCATAAAGCGTCCCTAGTACCACCAAAAAAAATTTGATTTATGTTTTTTAAATTTAATTTATTCCACATTAAAGTTTCATAGCCAGGCACAGTGGTGCACGCCTATAATCCCAGCAGCCTCAGCAACAGCGAGGCTCTAAGCAACTTAGTGAGACCCTGTCTCTAAGTAAAATACAAAATAGAGCTAGGGATGTGATGTGGCTCAGTGGCCAAGTGCCCCTAAATGCAATCCTTGGTACCCCCAAATAGTTTTATCTAGTGATTTAAAAATGTGATAATTGTTCACAGTGTACTATTAATGTAATATTTGGTCTGTATTTTATTTTATCCATTTAAGGAATACACCGCCTTAAAAAGAATTTGCCAAAAAGGAAACCAGGATTCATGACTAAATCGTATGACCCAATCGCTCCCATAGCTGAAGAAATCAGTCATGAAGCCTGTCTCTTGTGTTTTGATGAATTTCAGGTAAAGTAGAAATTTTTCATAAATGGAGAATGGTACATATTCTCTTTTCTGTCTTATTTGGGGGTTGGTACACCATGGTCCACACAGGACAAGTCTGACTTATTTGCTTCACTTGCTTCTCTATGGCATCTGCTTCTCTGTAGCCCACGAGAAAAGATTCATTCTTATCCCGCCCTACTCCCTCTCCCACCTTCTCTCTTCCTCTCTTCCTTTCTCTTTCTACCTGCACGTGCACATCTACTTTTTTTTTCAGTTCTAGGGATTGATCCCAGGGCCTCATGCATGCTAGGGAAGTGCTGCTCTACCACTGAGCTACATCCTAAAACCCTAATTTTTAATTTTAAATTAATTTATTTAAAAAGTATTTTGAGCCTGATTTGATGGCACATGCCTGTAATCCTAGTGGCTCTGGAGGCTGAAGTAGGAGGATCTCAAGTTCAAAGCCAGTCTCAGCAATGTAAAAACCCTGTCTCTAAATAAAGAATAAAAAGTGTTGGGGATGTGGCTCAGTAGTAGAGTGCCTCTGGGTTCAATCCCTGGTACCAACAAAAAAATATACCCAATTTTACTAAAATGATTCATGGTTTTAAATGTGTTTCTCCATTTTTATTTCACTGAATTCTATAAACTAGTTATTATTTTCCCTACATAGAGGTGAGGAATCTAAAGGCACTGGAATTTCCTAGGTCTCATGAAAGCATCATTAACTTTAACTATAACCATGAGAATTTCAAAATATTCAGAGAAATGATTTGCATGTTTCTATGGCATGAAGGACTTTGAAAGGCAAGACTAAGGAGTTAAGGAACTATAAAACTTTGGATATGCAAAAGCCCATGATCCTGAAGAAGATAGAGAACAAGCAGGGCCACTTTACCCATTAGGTACCATGATTCTTTCAGGAACTAATGAAAGTTGATTTGATTTATTTTAAAATTTGAAGAAATAAGTGAATATGCAGTAATGAGCCAGGCTTTGTGTGTCTATATCTGTATTCTATTTGTTTTTATACTAACATAAATTATATATACACTTATATTTTTATTGAGGAAGGAGCTCATGAAGGTAAAAGTTCCTAGAGTTTCCCTAAAGTCATAATGCCTCCCTGATAATGAAGTCCTAACAAAAACTTACCCTTGCCCTGGGTGTTCTCCAGTGTGTTCAGATTTCAAAAGGGTGATTTATTTCTGGGACAAAGGAATCAAAAGTAACTATCAGGATAGTAATGTTCCAAATGGGCCCAGTTTTCCATAGCAGTACAGGTAAGATAAAGGGTTTTTCAATTACATATTAAGTATGAGGGAGATCCATGGGAGACAGGCCCTTAAAATGTTGCTTGCTAGCAGAGAGAAAGCAGAGGTTATGGAGGTGTCTGTTTTGCCTATGCCATCCAGACTTGGCTTGATATTCTTTCACTTGTTTACTCTTTCATCCAGGTTACCTTAAAGAACCTTATTCCATATCACCAGACTCTGTCTGTCCCATAGCTAAATGGACTAGGCCTGGACATCTGATCTATTCATTGTCCATAAGCTTGTCAGCAACCTTGGACTTCTGTGGTGTGGCCTGGGGAATGGTCCAGTTATATCTTCTTTTTCATAAATTTGAGCTAATTGGCACATAGGGAAGTTCCTGTTTAGTAATGAGACAGGAACAAAGAGACATAGAAAGAAACTGAATCACATTAAGGGAAGGAGACTAGTGTGCCTGGACAGCTGCAGAGCTCTCCAGAGCATCTCCAATCCTAACCCTGTCCTCTGCTCTAGTTCCCATGAGGTGCCATTAGTGCTGTCCCCACCTGGGAGCCTCTTATGCCTTTAGCTGGTTCTCATGTGCCTATTTCTTGCAAACAGAATTTTGATGAGAACTGAATTCTTCACTTGTATTTTGCTCCTATTTCTATGTCACAGGGATTTCCCTCTGATCTGTAAAAGATAGTATAAACATTGGTAAGAAGTATTGTGAGGAAATGTCATCTTCCTTAATATAAAATCTGTTGCATCAGGAGAACTAAAGCCCAAGTCAGATCTTAAGGGAAAGAGGCTAGTGCTGCCTTGACAACTGCGGACTCTGCAGAGCTCCCCATATTTTTCTTTCTTTCTTTTCTTTTTTTTTTTGTACCAGAATTGAATTCAGGGGCATTCAACCACTGAGCCACATCCCCAGCCCTATTTTGTATTCTCTTTAGAGACAGGGTCTCACTGAGTTGCTTAGTACCTTGGTTTTGCTGAGGCTGGCTTTGAGCTCACGATCCTCCTACCTCAGCCTCCTGAGCTGCTGGGATTACAGGCATGTCTACTGCACCGGGCAAAGCTCCCTCTATTTCTGATGCAACAGATTTTATATTAATAAGGGTGACATTTCCTTACCATACTTCTTACCAATGTTTATACTATCTTTTACAGAATATAGGGAAATCTCTGTGAACTAAGCCCAAGAATAGCAAAGATGAGGCACGCTTTTGGCTGCAAGTTAACAGAACAGGCAAGGGCTTATACTCGAAAGGGCTTATACTCTAAGCGGGGAATATGTTAGTGTCATTTCTCTAGCTCAAATGCTATTTTTTTCTCTGACCTTATCTTCCATATGTTCAGCCCTACTCATTGCTCCCTATTGTTCCCAGTCCTATTTTCTTCATAGGTGGGAACCACAGTTAATAGTTGGATGTTATATCAAATACTTTTTTCCCAGAAGGGCTGGAGACAAAATATGCAGAGATAACAAAACAAGACTAAATACAAATTGATTCCTTCTATTCAATCCCCAATTTAGTGTAGCATTCTAGTGTGTTAGAATTGACCACATGAGAGATCCTCCCTTGAGCACGATTGACCTTGATATCCTAGAATGAAAAATGCTGATAGCTTGGCTTTTTTTTTTTTTTTTAATCTCCTATATAATTCCAAACTTGAATTTTGTATGCCTGGCCATGGCTGTGATGCTAGAAGCTTGACCTTGTGTTCTTCTCCCTGTTGTTTCAGGGAAAAATCTAGCTTGGGGTAACTCCTGGTTCTTCAGGGTGCAAGGTGCATATTCAGTGTGCCATAACAATAGCAAATAAGTTAAAAGATTTATTACTTCTATATCCTGGTCAGAGAGGGTACCATGAAGAACCAAGAGGTGGGGGAGGAGGGGGCAAGTGAGAGTGAACATGGCAACTAGAAGTATATAGGGGAGTGAAATGGGGTTGTTTTTAAGTTTGAGAGCAAAAGTCTGAATGGTCATATAAAGCAAGGAGTTGGGTTTGGGAAACCCACTCTTTTTTTTTTGGGCGCGGGGAGATATGGAGTCTTCCTATGCTGCCCAGGCTGGTCCTGAACTATTGGGCTCAAGTAATCCTCCCTCCTCAACCTCCAATATAGCTGGGACTACAGGTCCCGCCCATGCTCAGCTTAGCCCAGTTTTCTAGATAGGAGAAATACTTGCAGTGAACTTCTGGCCACAGGCTTGAGCTGTTTGTGTGTGGTATTCTAATGCCCAGCCAGCAACCTTTGTTTTATCCCGTTATACTCCCACATAGCTGGTAAGAATAGCTACATCACTTCTTCACATCTTTGCTTAGTTATCTTCTTCTTAATGAGACCTATTTTTTTTTTTTTTTTTTGGTACAGGGATTGAACCCAGGAGTGCTTAACTACTGAGCCATATCCTGACTCTTTTTATATTTTACTTAGAGATAGGATCTCATTAAGTTGCTTAGGGCCAGCCAGGCACAGTGGCGCACACCTATAATCCCAGTGGCTCAGGAGGCTGAAGCAGGAAGATCATGAGTTGAAAGCCAGCCTCCGCAAAAGTAAGGCTCTAAACAACTCAGTGAGATTCTGTCTCTAAATAGAATACAAAATGGGGTTGGGGATGTGGCTCAGTGGTTGAGTGACCCTGAGTTTAATCTCCAATACCTCCACCAAAAAAATTGCTTAGGGCCTTGTTAAATTGCTGAGGCTGTCTTTGAACTTGCAATCTTCTGTCTCAGCCTCCTGAGCCACTGGGATTACAGGTGTAGGCCAAGGCACCTGAATAATAAAGCTTATGCTAAAACCCTATTTAAAATTGAAGTTTGTGCCAAGTGCAGTGGTGCACGCCCTTATCCCAGGTATTCAGGAGACTGAGGCAAGAGGATCGCCAAGTTCAAGGTGAGCCTGAGCAGCTTAGCAAGACCCATGTCTCAAAATAAAATATAAAAAGGGCTGGGGATGTAGTGCAGTGGTAGAGCCCCTTTACCCACCTCTGCACTTCTGAAGCTCCTTACCCTCCTTTTCTCCCATGACACTTATCACCTTCTAACACATAATTTGCTTATTATGTTTATTGTTTATCTGTATTCTTCTACAGAGTAGAAACTTGAATGTATGGATCTTTATTTTATTAACTGATGTATCTTAAGTGTCTAGAATAGTACCTGTGAATGAAGGAATAGATTCTAATAAATGAATCCTAGGACCAAATAATAACTATTGAAGTAATAGCCTTATGTGAGTTAATTAATATTAAGTCCCATTCCCCTTGCATATTATAGTGTTTATCAAGCAAAATCAGCATTTACAGAACCCAAGATATGCTACAAATTTAACCTACATTTTTCCTGTCAACATTCTGAATTATCTGAACATTTTTATCTAACATAGTAGATAAAAAATGATAATTCATTGTTTTAATTTATATTAATTTAGGTAGTTTAATAACTAGTTAAATTAATCTTTCATGAACTGTTTGAGGTATTTCCAATTTATTTATTGGAATGTACATTTCATCTATTACGTATATTCTCTCTATTTTTTTTATGTGTGTGGTGCTGAGAGATTGAACCCAGGACCTCATGCATGCCAGGTACATGCTCTACTACTGAGCTACACCCCAACCCCTATTATTCTATGTATATTCTATACATATTCTATAATATATATATATATATTCAATAATGTATTCTAAATATTAGCTAGTGTTTAGTGAGTGCTTTCTATGTGCCTACTAATTACTGTCCTGTGCTATGTGTTATTTCATTACAGCTAACATTCTATACAACTGGACATAATTAATATAAAATTTTATCAGCATACATACTATATAGGTAATGATAATAGGTAATAGTTAATATTTCTTGAAAGTTTAATATGTGTCTGATTACAATTTTGTAAGGTAGGTATTATTATTGCTTTCATTATTTTGATGAGGAAATGAAATTGAGGGTTCGAGAGGTTAATTTGACCATGGTCACATACCTGGTAACCAATTGTTTAAATCCAGCATTAGTACTCTTACTAGTATTAGTTATATTTTTCCTTTGTATTAAAAAATCTTAGATTATGTCTTTAAATATATAGACTGAGTGGGATTTTGGTAGATTTTTCTAGTGATAGAACCTAAAAATTATCCTTAAGCCTATTAAACCTAGTACAATACTTGCTGATATATTAGAAAAGATTTTTTAGGTGCTTTATTCTTGGCAACAGTATGTCTATAATCACCATTTTACATTTAAAATGGAATCATATTAGTGGTCTTGATTTTTAGCCAATTATTATTAGCCTTATGTGAGTTAATTAATATAATACTTATTTTACTAGGGAGAGGAATGAGAATTACTGCAGCTTAAAAACAAGGATATATATCCTTTTATTGTGCTTTTTAATTTAAGGAATTTTTAAGATCATGTTTTGGTTTGCATTTGGATTGCATTTGCTGAATGTATTCTTCATTAGCTTCATCGTCTTTGCTAAGTGTGGTGTTTCAGTTTTGCCTGTGGTATGACATGCACTATTCTTCGGTTGAGAAATGTGTCTACAGAGTTGTTTTTTATGTGTTTTAGTTGCAGAAATAAAATAATAGCTTGTGCTCAAAGTTTTCTTTAGGATCTTTATTATGTCCTCTTTGAATATTTATGTTACTTGTTAAACCATTTATAATTTCGAAGGTATCAGAATATTGAGGGAAACTGATTTTTTTTTTAAATTATGTCTTTGTGTTTCTTTTTAGGAAAACTAAATAGATGTTTTACTAATATGGTCCAAAAAAATTCTGATGAGAAGAATACATGCAAAATTCTCCTCTATAAGCTATCAATATCATTTAAAAAATAGTTTTAACTATTTTATAAAGCAGGAAAGCTATTAAAAACTGCTAATAAAAATAGTGCTTATTTTTGTGCTAATACTAATTACTGATAATGCATGCTTATGTTTGTCACTCATTACATGGCACTGTACCAATCAGTGGATGACTGAGACTCAAGCACTTACACATGTAAATTAAGCATTAGTTTTTTTTTTTCTTTTTTACTTAAGTGAGTCATAATGGAAAGCAACTCTAGGTCATAAAAAAATCTCTTCTCTTTAATGCTAATGAAATGTCTCCACTCTCTATTAGCAGACTACCCTTATTGGTAATCTGTAGCCTTCTCTTTTGTTCCTGGTGGTAATGAAATGCTGGGTGCTGAAAATGCCAGCTCTCCAAGAATGTGGGGCCAATTGTCTTCTGTTCACTTATACTGTAAAATTACTGTTCCCCAGCAAAGCTGAACAAGTGCGGGGACAGATCAAAAGAGTATACATTGGCACTCAGCTACACCAAGTGACTCCTGCCTTATTAATTAGTCATAGCTTCTCCAAGTTTATTTACTCAGACAGGGCAAAGACATCCAGCAATATAAAAACAACAAAGTATAACTTGATCACAGCTTTCTACTATTTGCTTTTTTCAATTTTCAGCTTAAACCTTTGCACTGTGTTATAAGCTAAATGTCCTTTCACTTTTCTGAATCTTGGGGCACAAAGACTCCTTTTAATTTTTTTCTAAAACTGCGGTGTAGTTAAATGACTGTTTTTATTCTCTAAAATTGAGTAACCATCAATTGATTTTTTTTTTAAATGAATGTACTGGGAATCCAATTTTAAAAGTGCAGTTGCTACTAAAATTTGCAAGCTTGTTCTCTCCTCTCATCAGCAATGCCACTGGTGTTTAAGCATTTGAAAAGAACCTTCTCTGTGTTTTTGCGGGAGCAAAATTTGACAATGATCCTAAGCTCCAAATTAAATAATATCAGTCCCATTTTCCTTTTTGTTTAAACCACTTTTTTGAAGTTCCTGAAGTCTTTTAAATTTAAGAACTCTTCAGTATTTTAGTAATATGTTTTCACTATATAGCCTGAGACAGAATTTTTAAAAATATTTTCTTTAGTTGTTGATAGACCTTTATTTTATTTATTTATATGCGGTGCTGAGAATTGAACCCAATGCCTCACGTATGCCAGGCAAGTGTGCTACTGCTGAGCCCCAGCCCCAGCCCCAGCCCTAGAAAAAATTTTTTGTGCATCTCACAGTCATGGTTTTGTTTGGTTTAGTTCAGGTGGGAAAGAAATTACTAAACTTTTGAATAAGTTATCAACAATAAGGAGAAAGGTAATGTAGACCTGTACAACCCAGGTTGATACTAGTTGTGTTACAACTGTTTAGTTGGTAACTTTTAGTATTTAGTTGATCAAATTGAAAGAATTCCACTAGCTTCTATGTCCCCTAACAGGGTTTTAAAATAGTATTGTAATATATTTAGTGAGTATATATAAAGCAAGTTTTATTGAGACTATTGAATAATAATGTGCTATTAAAGAAAGATCAAAACATTTTTACACTGAGGATCTAAAACACAAGTTATATACTTAGGGGAAGTTGCAGTGATTAATATTTGCCTTCATTATACATTTGTTTTTAAATTCATCTTTCCTTTTTAATTGTTATATGTCTTTGTGAATTTTAAAAGCCGTTTAAAAAAGTTATCATTAAGCTAACTTTTTAATTGTGAATTTAAAAAATAATTTTAGAAAAAAACAGTAGTTATATTTCTTTGTAACCTAGCTTAGATAGGATAGTTTTATCTGCATTATACATTTCTAGTTTTGTCAGGAGTCATATTTTTAAAGCACTGTATTAACCATTTTCTAGAAAGGGCTTTTTTTGGTAGAAGGAATATTTGTGTTTGCGAAGGTTAGCAGAGGCTGGCTGTGCTGGAAGTGACTGCAGTGCCTTTTGATTATTCATGGACAGTAATAGAAGGCACTTAAAAAGAACAATGAAATTGCTTATTTTTGTGATGGGCCATCTGTTGAATTGTTTTGTGCAACAATTGCACAATAGTATCTATGTCATATCATTCTATTTTCAACAGCAGCTGATTATGTCTCACTGGCTACTTGTCCTTATTTCTAAAGTCCCATGACCATTTAAAGTCACCTTTCCAGGGACCTTTGCCAGAAAGGTATTAGAAATCACAGCCTGGGCATTTTATTATTATTTTTCTCTTTTTTCACTCTTTCTCTCCTTTTTTGGGGGGTAGGGTGAGTGGCAGCAGGAGGGGGGTGTTGGTCGTGTTCTAATTAAATAGACTTCCTAAATGTTTAAGGACAATTATCCATGCTTTCCACCTGTAGTTCTATAAAAGAAGTTAACAGAGAACCATTTGATAATTTGTGTTGAAATGATAGGCTTGCAAAGAAGGAAGAGTCAAGTTTAAAAGACTGTTATATAATCTTTCATGCTTTTAATTATCTACTTTTTTCCTCATGATGATAATTAGAATTTTTTTCTTGGAATTCACTTCCATCTTAAAAAAATGAACCATTAGCAAATTTGTTAGAGCAGAAGTGAAATTAAAATAAAACAAATGTGTTGTTGTCCATAGGTCACTGACATTGCTGATGCCATGATTTTGAAACAGCTTTTTGAAAATCTGTTCAAAAATGGGGTCGTTGTTGTGGCAACATCTAACAGACCACCGGAAGGTAAAAAAAAAAAAAAAAATTATGCTAGTCTCATCCAATTATGTAGAAACTAACAAGCTTTTAAAAATCCATAATTTTGTACTAATTTTATTTTGTTAATAAATTTGATAACAGTGCTTATCATTAGTTTTATAATTGGCTTAATCTGAAAAATCAGTCTGTATTTATATTTGAAAAATGTTTGTATTCTAAGCAAGCTAAATCTGGGTGACCTCTCATGTAAGATAGACATTTTTTTCCTATTATATATGTCATATGTACGTATAAAAAAATACAAACCTTTCTAACTGCTTTTTCTGGGCCATAAAATAAACTCAGTGAAATGAAAGTTGAAAATCCTAAATGAATTTTAGAAAAAGGTGAAGTTTGATTGTATGAGTAGTTTTTAATACTTCATTTCTGTGTTTACTGTTTTTCTTGTGTGTGTGCAGTGCTGGGCCCCAATGGGGCCTGTGCATTCTAGGCAAGTGCTCTACCATTGAACTATACCCCCAGCCCAATTTATTATTTCTTAAAAGGCATTTGTACCTTATTAGGAAAATATTCAAGATAAAATATATGCAATAATTAGACACAAACAAGTTTAAAAATCTTGTCTCTTTCAGCCCATCATATGATCAGTTAAAGGTCTAAGGAACAAAAACTAATATTATGTGAGAGACTTAGCATTAATATCTTTTCTACCTGGAATGTTCTTCCCCCAGATATCTGCTAGGCTGATATCTTACCTCCTTCAAGTTTCTGCTCAAAATTTACTTTGCCAGTGCTCTCTGGACTTCTCTCCCTATTTGAATCTAAAAGTCCTTTTTTCCCTGATACTGCTTCCCCTTATCTGGCTTTGTATTTTTCCTGTGGCATTAGGGACCAATTTTATAATTTATTTATTATATTTTTGGTTTATTGCCTGTCCCCTTCCAGGATGCATAAACTTTATGAGGATAGACATTTTTATCTCTTCATTTGGAAGTATTCTAAGCACTTATAATAGTACTTCACATGTAGATGAATTTCAGTAAATAATCTTAGAATGAATGAATGTTTTAAAAGGATCTCTCTGGTTTCAGTATGGAGAATAGACTGTGGGAGTTGAGGTCTCAAGGTTGAAAGTAAGGAGACCATTTAAAAGACCATTGCAAGCCCTCCCTGGTCTCTTTCCTACCCCCATCCTGAGGCTCAGATCTCCACTGAGGGGTCAGTGAAGCCCTTCTTCCCCTCATTCATTAACACTGGTTTTTCTATTCGAATGTGCCAGACCAGGATCTGTGTGTCCAGAGACAAAACAAAGGTTAGGACCGGTCTCCAACCTTACCCTGCCACTCCCTCCTCCTTCTCACACCTTGGGAGTATTTTTTCTGCCCCCCCCCCCTTTCCACCTTGTTCCATCAAGACTTTCTCAGTTGTTCTTTATTTGTACCTACCCCTTCATTCTTGTACATGTGATGCATTCAAAGTATCTGTTGGAAATGAGATGTCTAGAACTACAGAAAATAGACAATTCCCAAGATTGGCAGGGTGGGGAGGGGGAAGACTATTGCAGCAATCCTCAGGGGAGATGATGGAAAGTGGTGAAAACTGTTCAGATTCTGGGTATATTTTAGATGAAGTCAGCAGGATTTACTGATGGAATGGATGTAGGCAATGGAAAAAAAAAGAGGAATCAAGAATTAATAAAAAAATAAGCCAGTCCCCCAAAAACCAAAGGTCATATGTTCTCTCTGATATGTGGATGCTCGCCCACAACAAGTCAGGGTAGGTAGGGACAGGAAGAGTAGTAGTTCATTGGATTAGACAAAGGGAAATGAAGGGAAGGGAGGAGAGATTGGAACAGGAAAAACAGTAGAATGAATTGGACATAACTTTCCTATGTTCATATATGAATACATGACAACTCCACATCATTTATAACCACAAGAATGAGATCCTAATTAGAATAAATTATACTCCATGTATGTATAATATGTCAAAATATACTCTGCTGTCATGTATATCTAAAAAAGATCAAAATTTAAAAAAAGAATCAACCAAAGCTTTTGGGTTGAGCAATTGGAAGGAGAAGTTGACATGAACTGAGATGGGGACAACTACAGGAAAAGCAGATTTGGGTAGGATGATGGAAGTAGGGGTTTCTATAATAACGAGACAGATGTCTATGAGATTTTGAGTTTTGTTGGAAAGGTTTATACCAGAAATATAAATTTGGTATTCATCAGTCTTAAAGGAGATTGGAGAGTGGAACTGGTAATGTAGGAGGTGAACAAGAGTATTTCAAGTGAGGAAAAGAAAGGTAACACAAAAAGGATGCTGTTAAATGCTGCTCCAAGGTTAAAGTAAGATTGAGAATTGACCTTTGGAATTGGTAAAATGGAATTCATTGGTGGACCTCAAAAGAGCCATATAATAGTATGAGCTTAAAAAAAGAACTGTGCCTAATAAAAAAAATAAAATTAAATTAAAAAAAAGAACTGTGCCACATTGATGACTAACATATCAAGATCTTACTGTGAAGCTGCTATTAGACTAGGTGTCTCTTATTCTATGTGTAGTTGTTTTCTTCTGATGTGATAAATAGCATTCTTATGATGTACTACTGTTAAAACCCCTCACTGATATTTGTCCACACTGTCCCAGTTTAAGCCAGGGCAGTGAGCTCCTTAACGTTAGATGATCTATTTAGGTGGGAGTGAGGGCTGCCTCTATCTATTCTAGCTAACATGTTGATATAAGTGTCATTGGTGTTACCTTTAGGCATTGAGTGAAAAAGCTATGCTCATAAATAGCAAGCTGCTAGAACAATCTTGGAAGACCTTTAGCAAAGAATAATGAAAGAAAATTGCACTTGACTGCTTAGTAATGCACTATGGCAAACTGAGGAAAGACAACACAAGATGTTAAGGAACATTTTGGAGCTTATAATTTTGTAGGAGTGAATACAGTTCCTGGTGGTGGGCAGGAATCTTGCTGGAGCTGCCCTTCTGGAGAAGCCTGAAAAGTTTGAGATGTAGAATCTTTAAAGTTGGATATTAGTCAACTTAGAGAAAGCCTTTTTAAAATAAACCATAGAAGGGATGCTTGTTATATACCATGTTAATTAGCCACAGCAGACAATCATCATACATAGCTTAATATTTTAATGTAAAGAAGATTGCATCTCTATATATGTTTTTTTTCACCCATGAAATATACGTGTGTACACACTCACATAATTTAATGGGTGAAGAAAAAGACTCAGGGAATATGGATATCAAGAAAAGGAGAGGGCTGGGGTTGTAGCTCAGTGGTAGAGCACTTGCCTTGCATGCGTGAGGCACTGGGTTCAATCCTCAGCACCACATAAATAAATAAAGATATTGAATTAATCTACAACTAAAAAAATAAAAAGAAGAAGAAAAGAGAAAAGGAGAAATGATATGCACAATGATATGTACATTCTACTTTCATGTGTGACTAATTAGATCAAATAAAAAATAAAAACAAATAAATAAAAAAGAGAAGCAGAAATGATTGGATGAATAATGAATCCGTGATCACATATTGCCAGGGACTGGGACAGGGGGAGGTGTTTGACTACAAATGAGCTGCAAGAGAGAAAAAAGTTAATTTTATTCTGTGTAAATTTTTTAAAAATCACATGGATAGTGAGTGGCAAAACAGAACCCAGTTTTGTAACTCTTATAACACATTTTACTTTTCTTTTTTCTTTGTTGATTATCACTGATATTTGTCCACACTGTCCCAGTTTAAGATTGTCCTCTTTCTAGTTGTCAAAACATGTATCCAGGGCTGGGATTGTGGCTCAGTGGCAGAGCGCTTGCCTTGGACATATGAGGCACAGGGTTCAATCCTTAGCACCACATATAAATAAATAAATAAATAGTATTGTGTCCATCTACAACTAAAAAATTATTTTGTATCCAACCAGACACAGTGATGCAAACCTGTAATCCTGGCAGCTTGGGAGGCTGATGCAGGAGGATCATGAGTTTAAACCCAGCCTTAGCAACTTAGCAAGGCTCTAAGCAACTTAGTGACCCCCTGTCTCAAAATAAAATATAAAAAATGGCTGGGAATGTGGTTCAGTGTTAAGTACCCTAGGTTCAATCTTTGGCACCAAAAAAAGAAGTATCCAGTTTTTTCTTAAGATGGTAGCTTTTGCCACATCATTGTTTATAGCAGCACAATTCACAATAGCTAAATTGTGGAACCAACCTAGATGCCCTTCAGTAGATGAATGGATAAAAAAAAATGTGGCATTTATACACAATGGAATATTACTCAGCAATAAAAGAGAGTAAAATCATGGCAGTTGCAGGCAAATGGATGGAGTTGGAGAAAATAATGCTAAGTGAAGTTAGCCAATCCACCCCCCTCCGCCCCCGAAAATGCTGAATGTTTTTTCTGATATAAGGAGGCTGATTCATAGTCGGGTAGGGAGGGAAGGAGAGCATTGGAGGAATAGAAGAACTCTAGATAGGGCAGAGGGATGGGAGGGGAAGGGATGGAACATGGGGTTAGAAATGATGGTGGAATGTGATGGTCATCATTATCTAAAGTTTTAAGTTTTTTCATATGAAAAATTATGCTCTATAGTGTAAAATGAATTATAATGCATTCCGCTGTCATATATAAATTTTTAAAAATTAGTTAAAAAAATATGGTAGCTTTTGATCCCAGACCCCAGACAGTTTTCTTTTATAAAAAATAGAACTTACTGGGCATGGAGGCATGTGCCTGTAATTTCAGCAACTTGGGAAGCTAAGCAGGAGAATCATAAGTTCAAGGGTAGCCTCAGCAATTTAACAAGACCCTGTCTCAAGATAAAAAGGACTTGGAATGTAGCTCAGTGGTAAAGCACCACTAGTTTTAATCTCCAATACTCCTGCAGCCCCCCAAGTAGAACTTATTCTTAGACTGCTATAATAGCTGGAGAAATAAACTTCCTGGCAGAGAGGTGAGACAAAGTAAAATGGCCAGAGAAAGAGGGTATAGTCTTTTGGAGAAGC